CAGCAGTCTTTTTAAATCCCTTCTCTGCGTGGCCGCCTGGATATGATTATAAAGTCATGAAATTTATCATCACCTGTGGCTGTTTGAAGCAAATTGGTTAGTTTAATTAGACCTCGTGTTTCTTTACTGATGATTATTTGTTTATCAAACAGTACTGGGGGCTCTGTGCGTGCTAGCACAGTGCTAGGATCAAGGGTGCAAAAGGACCAGAATGTCAGGAAAGAGAGGCACACAGGAGGACACCTCTAAGGTGATGTGAGAGGGTACACGGGGTACTGAAACCGGGAGCACAGAGTGACTCCCTCTTGCCAGAAGATACCGGGGAAGGATTCTTAGAGGACTGACATTTCGGTGACATGAGTCATGAAAGTTTGGTAAGAACTCGTAGGTGGAGAAGAGGCTGGGGAGGAAAGAAGAAACGAGGTGTGTCAAGACAAAGATACACTGATAGAGAAGGGAGTGAACACTTGTGAAGCGCCTACTGTGCGCCAGACACTGCGCATCAGCTAACTTGATCCTGTCAGGTCTACGCCATCATCTGCTGAGGAAACTCAGGCTCAGGAGAGTTATGTGACTTGCCCAAGTTCTTGAATTACCACTTGGGGAGTCAGGATTCACACCCATAATTCTGTCAGTAAGGTGAGGCTGAGGAAAGAGCTTGTCTTCTGGTGGGAGTGATCCCTTGGTGTGGCCGGGGTGTGGCATGCCGCGAAGGAAACAGACAGAAACAAGGTGGAAGATGGAGAATGGAACTGATTAGTGAAGGGCATTTTCAGCCTGCATAAGATTGGCTCTTAGTGTTTGAGAACACCAGTAAGGGTTCATAAGCAGACACGGGAAGCTTGATTTATCTTTTAGAAAGACTCTGGCCACCATGTTTTGGGTGGAGGGAGTTGGATAAGACTGGAATTGGGGTCACAGATTTATCTTCACTACACTTAGATGTGCAAAGAAAATATTTTTTTAAATTTGACCCTACCTTCTCCTTCAGACCGCCTCTCCACTTAATAAGTGGAGAAAAAAGAAGCTACATTTCATTGAGAGTAGGAAACTCAGTCTGCTCCAGTAATGTGGAAAGTCTCTTTTGGTAATTCATTTTTCTCTCTGCACCCCACTGAGACGGCGTCTCAGTAAATGGGAGTCTCACATGGCCTTGAGGGTGTGTGTGTGTGTGTGTGTGTGTGTCAGTCAAAGGTCGGGGCAGCCCTTGCTGACTGTGGTCTGGCGGTGTTCCCGCTCTGCCTGGGCCATCTGTTGGCAGCCGTTGCTGAAGTATGTGGCTGCTCTAACTTGCAGTCTGTTTTCTCCCAGATCAGTCAGGGCCTGGTTGTCCGTATTGCCTACATGGTCCCACCGTGGCTTTTGCTCGGCCTTTATACCCCTTACCTTATCCCACAGGAACTTATGACAATGCCCTTCCCTCCGTGGTCCTCCACAGTGTCCTTGGGGGAATGTCCACACTGCTTAGAAGCTAGTCAGGCTTTGGATAGCAACCTCAAAACTTGGGCCTTTTTTTTTTTTTTTTTTAACACGCAACTGCTGTGACACCAGTTTTGCTGATTTATGTGATATGGTCACCACCTATGCAGTCACCACCCCATTTTGTCTTGAGAGTGGGGGGCGGGGCATGAAGATGTTCTGTGAGGTCGCCTCCTCTAGATCCCTGAAGGGAAAGTGATACAGAAACTCCTTGGCCTTTGGTTTTTGTTATCAACTCTTTCAACTCCTCACCCTCTTCTGGGATTTTAGCCCTGAGTGGGGAGAAGCTGTACCATATGTGTCTCCATCTCCTGATTTCTCTATCTACCTTGACCACTTCTTCTCTCCACACTTGTCCTTGTGTTCCCAACTCATCGGGACTTCTCTAGGTCATTCTGTCTTCCTTCGGGAAGTGCCTTTAACCCTCCACTTTGGGCTGTCATAATGGCCAGGATACGAGGAAGGAGGGAGGTCAGCTTTAGATAAAGGAATTTCAAATGAATTTCAAAGCTGTCGTATTTGTCACCTGATGGTAGAGCTGCTACAGTAGTCTAGGTGAGGGATAAAAGAAGCCGGAAGAGAGTCCTACGAGCGAGCCTTAGTGAAACCAAATGTGGGGGCGATGAGACGGAGAAGTTGAAGATGACTTTGTGGTTCCTAGTTGGGGCAACCATTGAATAAAGATTCACTTGACAGAGAAAACACCAGAGGAGAAGGAAGAGTTGTGAGGGCAGAGGGGAGGAGGAGGAGGTTTGGGGGCTAGGAAGAAGAGAGGGAGGGCAGTGAATTCAGTTTTGGATCTCACTGAAATGCTGTCTAATAGGAGAGAATCTGCCTGAAGAAATGGGTTTGGGAAACAGGTGAGAATATCTAAGAAGAAAAGGAAGAGAAACTCACTGTCATTGTAGATGCTAAATTTAAAAACATAAACAAGGTCATCACTGTTTTAATTCTTCCTCGCATTTCACAGTGACCCAGTACTTTGGAACCTCTCCTCCAGGTTCCTGCAGCAGGATAGCTCCAAGGTCACAGGGTACTGTCAGGGGTATCTGCTGCTACTTCTGATCCCCGAGGGGACCTTTAAAGCGCCAGGCCTGACACATAGATCCATGGTATACTAAGGTCATATCAGAATGAGGCCAGAATGTTCTACACCAAGAAAACTTTGATGAGTGGTTAAAACTAAATAATTTGCAGGTACATGCAGAGGCACTGTTTAATTTTTTGTAGTTGAACTGAATTTGTTAAGTGAACTCCTAGAAATGTAACATGTACTTCTCAAAACCATCATCATTATGCCTGAGACATGGTCTAACCTTTGGATGTCCTCTGCTAATATAATTGCCTCGCTGTCTTTGAAAGGTGGCTTTTAATTGGGTTTCAGAGTAGCAGTTGCTGTCGAGATGCCGGTTGCAGCCTTTCAATAGATTGGGCCAGTTCGTTAAGCGTTTCCTCTCCCTGGTCTGGACAGCTGAGCTTGGACAGTAGCCAGCAGTTACTGAAATGCCATCACTTGTAGGATTGACCTTTAAGACACTGATTTGTTATAGTATTGAGTTTTGATTTTTTTTCCTCTCAAATTTAAATGGAGCTTTATTGAATGCAGTGCTAAATTCAATTCTTCTCACTCTCCGTGGCCTTTTCATCAGGTTATTTCCCCCTGGCTCCTGGCATTTGGTCCTCTGGCTGCACAAGAGGTTTAAGAACTAAAGACAGCTTGCCATTTACAGGGCTTAGGATGGTCCGTGGGAAGTGTGGTGGATTACCGCGCAGGCGTGACTCAGAGTCCTCACTGGCCTGGTCATTTATGTACAGGTAACCCGAGAAGTCTCTTAGCCCGTTTTCTTCTTTTTGGTAAAATTGTGCTGAAAATTCTTTTTTATCTTAAGTTTTTATTTTAGTTCCAGTTAGTTCACATACAGCGTTCTATTAGTTTCAGGTGTACAATAGAGGGATTCAGCACTTCCGCGCGGCACCCTGTGCCCATCACAGCAAGTGCCCTCTTTCACCCCCATCCCCTATTTCCCCCATCCTCCCACCACCTCCCCTCTGGCCACCATCAGCTTGTTCACTGTAATTAAGAGACTGGTTCTTGCTTTGTCTCGCTCGCTCTCTCTTTTCCCTTATGCTGGAAATTCTTATCTCTAGGATTATTGCCCTGAAGGTTTTTAATTTGTTTGAAGAAGATGAGTACATACCTGTCACATTGAAGAAACAAGAGCTCGGGGCTGGGGGTGGGTGGGAAGGTGGTGTGACAGAAGGAGCCCCGTGTTTGGCTTTGGCTCTCCCTTAGAGCAGCTCTGTGGCCTGGCTCTTTTTATGCACCAGGAAGGCGTCCTGGGCAGGTCCAGTGTATTTTCTGATCATTTTCGTAGAATAAAAAGCTCTCCAGTCACATTTCCTTTCCAGACAGTCTCAGTTTGGTAATTAATGTGTCCGGCCTCAAACAGACTGCTTTAAAGTGAAAGCTTCTCCCCTGGCACAGATTTCAGATTCAATTTGTCACATTCTACCAAAAATAAGAACTCCCGATATTTTTATTGGAATACATTGAAATTATAGACTAATTTACTTCTTAGAGGTGATAAACACATTTTCTTAGACTCAGTCTTCAGTTACTTGTATTTGTTATTGCAAATGCTGTGTTTTCAAAATTAAGCTTTGTGTTTGTCGATATTTTACCAAAGGGCAATAAATTTTTGTGTATTGACTTTGTACTTAACTATTTTGTTCAGTGTTCTTATTCTAATAGTTTTTCAATGAGCTTTTAATATAGACAATTATATCAGCTGTGAAAATGATTTTTTTCCCTTGCTTTCCATTTCTTGTGCCTTTTTTCCTTTATTTTTCTATCTTGCTCTCCAGGCAGAATTGGTAAATAGAAGTGTCAATAACTACCATCTTTTTCTTATTTTTGATTTTAGAAGGGTTGCTTTTTAATAAAATTATTTATTTATTTGAGAGAGAGAGGGAGAGAGAGAGAGAGGGCACACACACACACACACACACACACACACACAAGCAGGGGGGAGGGGCAGAGGAAGAAGCGGACTCTGAGCAGGGAGCCTGATGTGGGACTTGATCTCAGGACCCTGGGATCATGACCTGAGCCAAAGGCAGACACCTAACGACTGAGCCACCCAGGAGCCCCAGAGGGGTTGCTTGTAATAGTACACCAATAGGTAAAACATAGTAAATTTTTTTAGATATCCTTTATTAGGTTTAGAAATTTCAGTAAGGAATTTTAATCATGTGTCTGTGTAGAGTCTTAATCAAATATCTTTTCTGTATCTAGTGAGGTATTGTGGGCTGACTCTTACAGAAGGGTGTTAAGATGAAACCTGTTGAATCTTCTAGGTGCAAAGTCATTGCCAAGTGGAATGGGAGTGATACTACATTTTGAAATATGATTTATATACTGCTGATTCATTTTTTAAACATATACCCTTTGTAGGGGAAATATTATATTATGCGGTCATGGTTGAAAAATAAAACTAAACTTTGTTTGTTTTTCTCTCTAGTATTACTTTACTGTTCTCTTTGGCCATGAAGGTCAGAAAGCTCTGGAGCTGCGCTGTGAGGAGGAGCAGGATGGTAGAGAGTGGATGGAGGCCATTCACCAAGCCAGGTATGGGCTCGAACCCTCTGTGTGACACTGGATTGGCTGGGTCTCTCACACTGGGGTTTTCACTGTTGGCTGTAGTTTTGGGAGGACTTGCAATTCCAAGATGGGTTTCCCCTTGGTACCCCCTCTTTAGTGATGTGTGAGATGATTCTTTGAGCGTTCTATGGCTATATTCTAGCTAAAGATGAAAAGTAATGTATATAACAACAACAACAATAATAACAATAGGTCACTTTTGTCAATTGTTCCTATGTGCCAGGTACTCTTCTAAGCGCTTCTCAATTAAGGCATTTATTAAATGTATTGATTTGCTGATCCTCTCGACAGTCTGAGAGTGGGTATTATAATTGCCCCCTTTTACAGAGAAGGAAAATGAAGCCGGGAAGGTTGGTTTGCTTGTCTGAGGTCTCACAGCTGGTGAGTGGCAGAGCTGGCTTACAGACCCAGCCGAGCCCACATTTGTAAACCCTGCCCTGGGCAGCCTGGTTATCAAGAAGGGTGATGCTGACTCTATCTAGGGAGATAAAAGAGTATGATTTTATTTCCTCCTAAGAAATACCAGGAAGGTAGAAAGAACGCACTTGGCCTCAAACATAAACAAGAAATCTGAAAGAGAGTCAGGCAGATCCCTCTTTTTTATTTTTTCATATTCATTTCTGAAGTCCAGCCCATTTTTGCTTCAAATAGCTCCCATGCTCACTGCTTTCCTGGCTGTCCCCTCCCTCGTCCAGTCTCTGGTCACTCTGTAAGTCCCTGCTCATCTCCCCGCTGCTTCCGTGGCAAAACTCCAGCTGGGGCACATCTTTTTCTTCATCTGACACGCCCCCTGCTTCTCCTAAGTCCCCGTTCACGCCTGTACCGCCCCTGTCCCTGAAACCGTCCCCCACAAGTAGCCCTCACAGGCCCCCTCTCCAGATCGCTGAAGCACTTGCATTACTACACATAGAATATTTAACAGTTCAGGACAACTTAGGGGTTTGTTTTTGTTTTTATTTTTTTATCATTTTTTTTTACATATTTCACATGTGTGATTTCTGTTTCTTGAGCTGGATTGCATGCACCTCAAGAGTGAGGAGGAGGAGATTTCATTTCTGAACAAAGCACAGTGCTAATTATGTAGTAGGTGACCAAGAAATATTTTCAGATTGACTGTAAAGCAGATGGGACATTTGTTCTGAGTTGAGACTCTTCTTGAACCCTTGAGACTTTTTTCTCTGAAAGTCTCCTCCCCTCCCCGCCCCTCTTTTTTTCTTCAACTACTTTATATTTACCACCTACCTCCTCTGTGTCAGGCACCATGCTAAGTGCTTTACATGCTTTGTTTATTCCTCACAACTACCCACTTTACAGATGAGAAAACAAAGGCTCATGATTATTAAGAAGATTGGCCAATATCTAACATGAAGTTGTTAAGCTGCAGAGCTGGTCGTCAAACCCAGATCAGTCTGACTCCAGAGCCTTTAACCAGTGTTTTGGGTTGTACCTGTCTTCATTCTTGTCTTTTTCTCTTCTTTCCCCTCCCTTTTCTATTTCTTTTCTTTTCCTCTATTCATAGATGCAAAGAGATTAATGTAAGGTCAGGGTTGAGAGTAGAAGATGTTATTTGCAAAATATTTCAGTTCCTTTTCTTTCCTCCTCTTCAGAATATTTCTTTGAGATGCACAGGGTTGGCAACCAAATGCTGCTCTCCGAGTGGGCCCTGGGGGCAGCTTGTCCACACCATGACCCTGGCACACCATTCAGCTGTCTTTTCTCTCATTGTTTCTGTCAGAGGGTTTTGCTCCAGACTTTACCGTAATGTACAATGACTTGTTATAGAAAGAAGGTCAGGTCTTGAGAGGTGAAAGAAGTTATCAAGTTGGCAAGGTAGAACTCTTGGGTTCTTTCTAGACAATCTCTGTGTAATTCCTTCCTACCTGGGAATTAAAATGAAGTAAATAACCTAAAACATGGGCATTCCTCCCCTCCCCCCCTTTTTTCATTCCAGAAAAGTGAGATACTATTAGTAACCTAAATACCTTACCTTTGTAGTTGCCAAGCAAATACTCAGGTGGACCAAACACAGAGTATGAATTACTTCAAAAAATGGTTAGATTTTAAGTGAGGTTTTTTTTTTTTTTCCCTTTCTGTATCATGAGAACTTTGTCATATATGTGAGTGTGGGCCAGTATTTGGTGTTGACTGACATATGATCAATTAGGGCACTTGTGGTCTTGTCAGGAGACAGACTTTAGAAACCACTTTAGTGGTTTAGGTGAACAAATGATAAAATTCTCTTGTGGACTTGAAGATTTAGCTAATAATTGATTTTTTTTTAATGTCCTGACTTTTTGGTCCATTAGATTTGCTTTTCCTTTGATTTAAGGCCCAGGACTGGGTTCTTTGATGAGTTCTTTTTAATCAGACTGCTTTATACTTGAGTTCTTATATTTGACTTTTTGCATTGAGATGCTTCTTAAATCTTTTTGTTTTATAAATCAGGGAAGATAACAGCTTTTTCATTTAAGTTGAGTGTTTGGTGTAAACTTGGATCTGTGAAATTCATTCTGACTGTTCATACATGTGCAGAGCCAGAAAGTTAATGAAGCTGATTCAGAGAAAGCGTTTGTCAGCCAGTTTTGCTTGGCATTTGGCTAATTACACAACTGATTGGTTGACTAAATATTTCACCTTTAGAGGATAGTTGGTGGTGTTAATCTGGTGCCACTGCTTTTTTAATAGAAAATGCTCAATAATTATAGTTTTATTAATCCCTCTTTTTAAAAGTCTGAGCTATTGGTTAACTGATGACTATTTTAGCCCGAGACCAGTTCTTTCCTGAGTGTCCTGCCGACGCTGCCTAGAAACAGGGACTGCTCAGAACCCTTCTCCTGGTCTCTGCTGTTTTCCTGGGATGTCTTCTCAGTACTGGCTTGGGCATGCTGTCCTTGTATGCCATGAAAATCACATTCTTGCTGCTGGCCTTTGTACCTCCGAGCTGAATCTACTTGCTCCAATTTGCCGTTAGAGGATCTCTCAGTCATTTTCCAGGATGTTGAGTTGCATGTTTTCTTCCTTAGATGCGGCCCGAGGAAAAATCTTTTTGGAAATTATATTCTCATTTCGAAGCCCTGACGGGGTCCAGAAAGCTTGTTTTACAGTGTTTTTTTGTTTTTTTTTTTGAAGTTGGCCAATATTACATTTCTAGAACACTGGCACATTTATAATATCATTCCATCACTTATTATTGGCACCAGCTCATGGGAAGCTGCTAGCCAGACTTAATCTTATTTTTGTCTGGATAAGGAGAGGCCAGAGCATTTTAAGGGCACTAAAGTTCTATGCTTATTCCATAGTGGTTTGGTAGTTGAGTATGGAACTCTGGGTATTCCTAATAACCTGATTTTTCTTGTTGTCCTCTTGGTCTATCTGCCTGCTGTGGTTGACTTAGTCATTGACATTAGGACAGTCAAAAACACTGACTCAGTTAATTGTGGGTCCTCAGGGCTCACTGGCTGAAAAGACAACATCCACAGCACTTTTTCTCCACTTTTCATTTGGTGGAACACTGACCAAGCAAAGCCTCAGCAGTTAGAAGGTGGTTATGGCCTGGAAGGGGGTCTAGGTGTGCGGAGGTACCGAAGCTCTTCCTGGTCTGGTCTAAGTGTAAGACCCGAAGGACCTGGTCTCTGCCAGTTAATAAAAGAGAAGTGGAAAGTATTCCAGAGATCGGGTGGAGGGTAGACTTCCTCTAGGACTCTGTGACCACCTGGGTGCAGGTGCTATAGATCAGGTGGGTATCTAACACATCTCTCAGAGTGTCACTTCCTGGGAGAAGAAATGATGGATGAAAGGCGGGATTGTGGGGCAGAGATGATGAGCGCTGGTCAGGAAGGGCCTCTGTGGGGAATTGGAGGGTTTGCTTGCCCGAAAGGGGCTGTGAGGAGCCCCTCTGAGGGCTCTCCTTGCCCTTGCTGTGTAAGATATGAGAAAATGAGTATCAGAAGCTACTAGAGAAGTAAGGTGTGTCCTGAGGGAAAGCTGGCTTTGGGATTCTATCAAAGTGGAGGTTAGGGGAGGACTTGTGAAAAGTTGGAGACGTAGAGAATATTGTACCTGGCACGGCGCACCATGGAACGTGCACAGCTTTTTCTTTTTTTCTCCCTGCAAAGGTATGCCTTATGCTTCCAGTGTTTGAGACTGTCCTACCTGTGTCTTTTGCCTGCTTTTCTAATTTTTCCATCTGTAACTCTGTTCAGACCCCCCACCTCGACTGTCCTCCCTCCTCTTGGTATGTGCCTGTGGCAGGTGGATCTTAGGCTTTTCTCGGTGGAGAGGGCATTTGCAAGCGAAAAGGAACTGGGTGTATGCTTCCATTCCATAAAGCTCCTGTTCACTCACGCTATCAGTCCTAAGTTTGACCATCAGAGGGACTTAATCTTCCAGTTAACCCTTCCAGTGAAGCCTTGTCCTCTTATCCACTAAAGAAAGCCCTGATCCAGCCTCTTGGGTCTGTTTTTATCTGTAGTCCTTTTGATTACATGTGCCTGAGGCAAACTGTAGTTCATTCTCTCCACCCGCCCTCCTCAGTCTGTTGTTCTCCCCTTCCCCACAACGTACACAACCACACGCACGCACACACACACACACACACGCGCGCGCGCACACACGCACATGCACACACCCGCGCGCACACACGCACGCGCGCACGCACACACATGTGCGCACACACATACCCGCCCCAACATAGTAACTGCACCAAACATCTAGTGCCTGTAACCTCATCCTTTTTACTTGGATAGAGGCTTAATTTAGAGTGAAGTGTGTAGTATACAATCTGTCCAACCATAAAGGCCACACTATGTATCACGTCATCCCCATAAAACCAGCTCTTTATAGAATGTCCATGGAGAAATCCCCTACAAATCAGAAAAAAAGTGATTACATAGAAAAGCTGAAAGTGCTTCATGTATCACAGGGAAATGACAGGACTAGAAAATCAGAAATGGGCCGAAAACCAGAAA